GGCTGGAACTGGAAGACGCTGCCCTAAATAGAAGAAGGAAGGCACAGAAAGAAAGAGCAGCATGACCTCACTCATGTGTAGAACCTTAAAGGTGACCTGACAGGAACAGAACAGAAAGGTGGTTACCAGAGGAGGGGCACAGAGGGGCTACTGACCACAGGGGTGACATTTCCTTTGGGGTGCAGGAATCTAGACATTTCTGTCCTCTGCTAACATCCCAGCTTTCCCCCACTGCCCACAAGACCCGTGGGTCTCAGGCCCTGTGCACTCAGGCTCCTGCTCCACTCCCTGTGTTGTCATGGTTACGCAAGCCCAGTTCCTGCCACAGGGCAAGCACACCGGCTCCCGCAGATCCCATCATCTCTACCTGCAGCAGCCCTGATGTCCCTGGCAAGATGACCCTGGTTACCCTTCTGGACCACTTTGTCAACTCCCACCAGTCCCGATGCCCTCAGTACCAGTGGGTGGGGAGCCTGGCAAGTAGGGCCTGCGTCTGGCACAAGGCAGAGCAGGGGTGCGCAGCAAACCCCAGTAACAGTCACCCAATAAATGTGTGTGGGACAGTTGACAGGATTGCAGATAACCGGAATCACACAAATCTAAGTTCCTTGATGGCTGCACGGTGTCTACTTTCGGGAAGACTTTCTGAAAATTAATAATGCAAGATATAATGATCACTGTTATGATGAAAATATAACATTCACTTTTCTTCATGAAGGGAAGAAGCCCAAAATGATGTTTCTGAGTTGTGCCTACAGAAATTGGGTGAGATTGCAATGAAAATATTGTCTTGATTTTGGAAAATGAGATCATGAAAATCTTCAGGTTTTCGGCCTTGATTACACCCTCAGGGTTTGTGCCAGCCACACTTGGGTCTTCCTGTAACCACGGGCAGAGCCAGGAGACAAAGCAACACACTGGAAGAGCGAGCCCCGTGCAGCGGCTCACGCCCTCTGCGGCCAACACCTCCGAGCAATCCCAGAATGACCGCCCTGCCAAACACAGGACTGCACATACAAAACACATGCAGAGTAAGGAGAAAGAATCAGAAGCAATAATAGTAACACACCACAAGTCTGCAAAGCAAGGAGAGAAGAAATGAAAAATCACACATAAAACATGCGTAGCATTTTTGGGTTGATGTCTTTAATACTGATTTCTGTCTATTCTCTTATTTAATATTAATCACCAGGGTATGCTTAGATGTTTTTCTCCAAAGAATGGATTTAAAGTGAGAATGATATTAGTAATTTCTTTGCCTATCTTCAATCTTTAGAATACGTCCTTGAAATCAAGATGAATGGTGTTAAGCCCAAACTTCTTTTCACAGGGTAATGATTTTGATTCACAAACTTACATATCTAAGTCCTGATGCACACAGCAGTTCTGTGGGTGACCTGTGAAAGGCCTAAGCCTGCCCCGCCCAGTGAGTACTTTCTGGGATGCTGCCACTCCTCTTGGCCCAACTTTGTGGCCGCCACTGCGCCCTTGAGATGACCTTGCATTCTACCGTAAATTGAGCTCACGCCAACAGAGCTTTGCGTTGTGCCTCTATAATTGTGAGGCTGAGTTTACTCCCACACCACACAGACCTGTCTTAGTGCTTTTATTGTAAATAATTCACACCAGAAATGCTGCATCATGACACTGAGGTTAGGGAAATCATTACTTAAGCAAACAAAATCAATCCTAGAGCATCTTAGAGTCCTGCTCTGCGTTCCCCTTACAACAAGGATGGGGGTATGGGGGGTAAGCTTGGGTCTGGGCTGATGTCTTCATCTGGGACCCTCATGGGCTGGCCATAGACCCCAGGCCACAGCCCTCTCACCCACTACGACCTGCCTCCCTTCCCCTGTCACCTCCGACTCCCGTTCTCTTTTATGTCTCGCTGCTACTTCCTTCTTTACATGCAGGCTTCCCTAAGTTTGAGGTTCCTGTTGCCAAGGAAACAGACACCAAGTAGCTGTAGTTGACAGGCACCTTTGAAAGAGCAGTCAAACCCCTCTCGCTTATATAAGTCCAGCGGAGCAGAAAGGGGTACAGTGTCAACAATTTCCATCTGCACCTGCATGGTGGGAGCCCAGGGACAGAGGCCAGGACGGAGGGACACTGTCACCACAGCCACTCCATGGCTCCGATGTGTGCAGCGCAAGGCCACCAGCAAGAGCTGGGCCAGCCCAGGGCTGGCGTGTGCAGTGTCAGGCCGCCACACCTTCGTCTCCTGCTGGGCTGCTTCACACCCATTTGCTGAGTCTCTGGCATTGTGGCAGGGGCCTGAGTTGTGAGTCACCTTCAAACTCGAGAGCGAGCAAAGCCCTGGCCACAGCTCAGTGCAAGGAGCTCACCTGACACACTGAGATCCCGGGAGCCCACAGACACTGACGCTCTGCTGGGATTGGCTGTGCCTCGGGAGGGAGAGGGGCAACAGCACTGGGGGCAGTCCAGGATGGGAGCGGGCAGGCGCCAGTCACAATGCCACCATCCCCAGTCTCTCCGGTCTCTCCCATATGTGAGCAAGGTGCCAGGAGCTGGGCATGCACCAGGACCAAGACAAACAGCAGAGTGTTGTGCATAAACACGCCTGGTGCTCGAGGGCACAGGAGCTATTATCAAAACTGGTTTAGATCAAAACTGAAAACTGGAAAGATTTCACACACATGTACACATGCACTGGGCACAACCAGTGAGGCAGAGCCCAGGGAGGGCAGGTGGCGGCAGGAGGGGATGCCCTTGGTGGGGATCTGCAGGGACAAGGGCAGGGACGTCCCCTGTGCCTGCCAAGCTGTGCACAGCGAGGAGAGGCTCCGAGCCTACCACTGGAGGAAGAGGGATGAGAGAGTCCGGACCAGCCTTACAGGTGAAATCACAGCTGCCCTAACTCCACATGTGACGTCACAGCTGCCCTCAAAGACTAAAGACTTCTCTGAGCCAGGGCTGACCGTGCGCATGGATCCTGGGAAATGGCTCAGGGTCCAAGATCTCGGGGACCCCACTGCATGGATGTCAATTTCTGCACACAAAAGCATGGACTATGTGCTTGTGGATTTAATGACTGATTTACATCCTCAAAGAAAGTCCCCAGATTTCTCAGGCTTTAATACACTTGTCCAATCCAGCTGGAGCATGAAGCTCTGGGCTCTCAGCCCACTGGCCCAGGAACACGGCCAGGCCCAGGGGAAGGCAAGGCCAGAGAGCTGGGCCCGAGAAGGATGGAAAATTGTTCCCGGTGGCCAGTGCTGCCGGCCTGCAGTGGCCTGTCCTGCCCCATCGCTCACTCCCTGGGCCAAGGTACTCTTGAAAGCCGTCATTCTCCAAGCACGTCAACTCGCTGCCAACACTAACACTTCAGCTGGAGCTAGGATACCAGACTAACCATCTTCCCACCCACCACTGCCCCCCAATCTGCACATTCTTATCTGACCATTCCTCAAAACCTAAGTAATCACATCTTGACCTCTCCCCATAAATTTTCCCAGAAACTTACGAGGCTCCAGAGTAGGCTGGAAAGAGGGTGGAAGGTGAAGTCCAGGAAACTGAACTTCAATTCCATCTGTACCACCAAGTGATGAAGGGACTGAACGCGAGTCCCTGCCGCCTCTGCCTCAGCGTCCCTGTCGGCGATGAAGCCAGGACTCTTGGAGACACACAGTGAGTACGGAAGGAGGGCGGCACTGCGGGACAGCGCACCAGTCAACGTGGCACCACATGCTACTTTCTGCCCTTTCTGAGAACATCCTTTGCTTTGATTTAGAATTCTCTACTTTAAAAGGGGAAAAACAGAAAATAATACATCTGTCACAAGCCAGGGGGACTGGGGTGAGCGCTAAGTGTCCAGGTAGAGGAGAACAGCGAGGGGAGCACAAGGATCAGGAAGCCCAGGCCAGCCCCGAGAGCAGGTGGTGGGTCTCTCGGAAGGTGTGTGCGGTTCCTGGAGATGCAGGTCCTGGACGCCCCTCCACCAGCACCATGCAGGCCTGCTGACTGGGATTCCAGCCCCAGGTAGGGCAGGGCAGGATAAACCCAAGAGGAGCAGAACTGGTGAGGAACCAGGGAGAGCTGTAGCGGGCACTGCTTGCACCACGTACGTTCTGTCACGTCCTGACTAAGCCACACAGCGGTGCCCAGCTTGGGCTGAGTTGTCTCTGGAGCTCTGTGGTTGCGTGGGACCACGGGTGGGAAACACTCCCTGTCTAAGGACAACAGCAGCTCCTGTATCCCGGCCATGGACAGTGTGCTCCCATCAACTTCCCAGCCAGTGTGTCGCCAGCTGTTGCCTTCCCTTCGGCGCTGGGTTGCCTACAGGAGCAAACAACCCAGACATTATATAGTACGAACTTTTTCACAAGCATGTTTCTCACAACCTGCAGAGATCCCCTTCTTGAAGACGGTCACGTGTCTTGCCCCTCACCGTGAGCCTGTCACTCCTCAGCAAGACAGACAGTGTCCTTCCACGACCCCTCTCACCCCCTACCTGCGCCTGGCTCTGAGCTAGCCCTGCTTGTGGCCCTTGTTCCGGGACCTTGGCTGTAGCTGAGCGGTGCCACAGGACAGCTTTCTGCACCATCTCCCTGTAGGGTCACTGGGCCAGAGGTCTGGACCAGAACTGCCTCAGGCCCAGGTCAGCAGTGGGGCAGGGCCGGGAGCGCTGTGGGTAGCAGCACAGTCCGCCTGAGGCCACCTCCGTGGAGAGTGCGACTGGGTCCTCCCCGCACCAACAGATGAGGGGACGCACCCTGGCTTTCACTGCTGTAATGAGAGGCTGTGGGCACCCAGGTCAGGATGGACAGCACAGAAAGGAAACTGAAACTGGCCCTTCAGTCCACAGGGAGGTCCCTCACACACACATGCGCCCTGCTTCCTGCCTGTCAACTCTGCCCCGGCACAGTCACAGCAGGAAAACCAGAGACTTCCTGAGGCTGCAGGGTCCTTTCTGCCAGAAGACACCTGCCAGGTAGCTGGCACCGGGGCCTTCCTCAGGGACCACAGTGACTGTTCGCCCGTCAGCGATGCTGCACCAATGCTGGTGGGTGTCCTGGGCCGGGGACAGAAAGAGAGGGGAACGTGGCCACTCGGAATGGGGCCTCACAGGGCCCGGCTGCAGGTGACCCAAGGGGTCAACGGGAGCACGGCCACCAAGCATCAAAGGGGAAATGAGCAGTGACGAGAAGACAGAAGAGGAAAGATCGAAGACTCAGCACCAGAAACTCCGGGGCCTCCTTCAGAGCAGAGGCAGAAACAGCGCTGAGCACCGCGGGAAGGAATGGAGCTCAGCCTGGTCAGAGACGAGTGGGGCTCAGCTAGGCTGGGAGGTGCCACACAGCAGACACAGGGCGCCCACGGAAAGTGGCCTGCAGCTTGGTCCAAGGGGACCGGGTAGCACCTCTGCCTGCTGCTGGACAGAGCTCAGATGGGTCCTCCTGACTCTCAGGGTGAGCCGTGCAGAGCCGTCCCGAAGACCCAGTTTAGAGAGTGGAACAGGGAAACCAGACGCCTTCGCGAAGAGTGGAGCCGCGCTGCGCCAAGAAGCAGAGGCGTCTTGTGTCTCAGTTCTTGCTCTGTGCTGATGCCCCAGGAGACCCCCCACTAGTGTGAGCCCCACGTTCCAGTGGACAGCCTGCGATAGCGCAGCGCAAGCCTCCATCCCCAGGCCTCACCGCGTGCACCCACGGATGGGGGCAGACGGGCTCCATCTTAGGCCCTGCCGTGGCATAATTGAAGCCAGCCTGGCATTTATTTAAGTAGCGTAGTTTGGATGGAATGAAAATATTTGAGTAAGTGGCACAACACATTTGAGCAAAACGTGCAGAGGTTCCCCTGCACCGCGGACGCCTGGCTTACCTCTGAGAACCCCGCTTTGGAAATAAAGAGGGGGCAGTGTCAGGTTTCAGTTCTGCACAATAGCACCTTTAACAAACCTGCCAGCCAAGCACACACTAAACAGGGTTTAAAAAATCTTTACTACTGCCAGTTAATATTCACAGCACTCTGGGGGAGCAAGAGCCCGAAAGGTCTCAATATTTATAAATGCTACTGTTGTCCCCAGCACGCGTCGCAGGCCCCTGCGAGAGGCTGAGAGCTTTTCTTATACTGGGGGTGAGGGATACAGGTCTGAAGCAGGGAAAGACGTCGTTAGGAAAAAGATTAAACATAAATGAACACTTGGTGATCTTAAATTTGAAGAGCACTCCACTATGGTTGAGGAACCTGACTGGCCTGGTTATTTTACTTTCATTTACCAATATCTTCAACACAGAGATAAGCATTCAGAATTTAAAACCCTGATGACCAAGGCAGTGTTTGCTTTGGATTTGAAAATTTGCCACTTTCTATTTACAGATGCTGAAGGAGGCGGAGCTTCAAGCTTAGGAAACCAAAGCAACTGGGTTCATCCCTGCAGCTCTAACAGTACAATCACGAACCCGACTGCTGGAGAAACAGTGACATCTGTAAAGTGAACTCAACCCTGGATTAAAAGCTGGCATTTCCATGACCCACCCTCACAGTATTTTCTGGAGTTTATATTATATGATCATTAAAACATGCCCGAGGCTGAAATTCTAGTCTGTGTCAGCTTTGGACTCTGAGTCTGCCTGCCAAGCACGGAAGTTTGTTTGTCCTTCTCCTTTTCCCTTCTCCCAGAATGCACTAATATTCATGGTGTACATGCAGCTGGACCCAAATAACCTGCAGCACCCAGGAGCCCATGCTACTGCACACACGGCCAGTGTTTTCAGAAGAAATTTATGATGTCTAGAAACTCACCTTCAAGGAAGTAAAGAACTCAATTTGCTTTTAGCTCAGTCTCTTAACGAGTCTCTTGTCTATTGATTAATCCATCAAAAGTACTGGAACTTCCACTTGGAATGTAACTTGGTCTGTCTAGAAGCAGACTTTGAAGTGTAATCCAACTTTGTAGAAATCTAGTTCACTAGTGTGATTTCCTTTCAGTGGCTCCGTGGCACTGAAGAGGACTTGGACAGCAAGCCAGGGGAGGGGACGACTGCAGGAAGCAAGGCTGCAGGAAGGAGTGAGTGCCGAGAACCCTTATGCATGGATACAAGATCTCTGGCAGAAACAGGAACACCCACTCTCAAGAAACCCAAATATTTAGGAAGAGAGCCTAGGAGAGGCGGACCTGACCCCACGAGATGGGGTTGGCCAGGAACGCCCGGCAGAGGGATGCCAAGAGCCCAGCGCAGTCTACACCCGGGGCGGCCTCCTCCTTGCACCCCCAGACGCACAGACATCCCCAGGCACTGACCCCACCTAAAGGGCCCAGGGGTCCCGAATCCTCGCCTGGGAAGGAGGGGCCAAGTCAAGACCAGATGGGTGTGTGTGTGTGTGTGTGTTTGTGTCTGTCTGTCTGTCTGTCTGTCTATACCTTATAGAAGAGAACACATAAACACATTTCTCAACACAGAGGGAGGGATGTTCTCGTAGCATTTCATATTGCATTCCTACTTTGTTTTTTGTAGAATTGTGGACAAATCATCACTACGGATACAAACAGAAACGCCTGACCCTGTCAGAAGCCTGCACAAGCTCACTGCTGGCCGCTGGTCACTACTCAGCAACCACGACACACACTTGTAAGCCCAAGATTCACATCTGTGAAGTGTGGCTGCACCCGGTGACACAACGTGTCTCCCGACGGGAACTCCCCATTCTCAGACGCGCCCTTCTCATGGATTCCACTCACCACTATAAACCCGTCCTTCTGCTCCTGGAGCGCTTGCTGAGCCGCGATCGAGGCGCTTCTGGTCAGGAATCGCCTAATGCTCACTGCTCACCTTTCGCCTCGCCCTGAACAATGTGAGTCTGGCCAACAGGAAGGCTTTTCATCACTAAGATATAATTGAAATGCTTTTTCAACATGGTGGGCTTTTTTTTTTTCAAAATTTTACTGAGATGATACTTGGTTTTATTAAACATTGAACCACATCTTAGCAACGGACCATCATCCCCCTGTGGAAAGGAAAGCCGTGCTGACACAGGTCTCGGCCCGGCTGCCAGACACCCACGCTGCACACCGTATGACTCCATCACTTCTAACTACAAGCAGCACAGGGTGGGTAAATCTGACAGAGATGGAAGGTAGCCTCGTGGCTGCCTCAGTCGCAGGCAGGCAGTGCCGGGAGCCTGGTGTGGGGCGGGTGGGGAGGTACAAGGGGTGCAGAGTTTGGAAACTCGGGTTTTGATGACTAGAGTCTTTTGAATTTCACTTGATCTTAGCCAAAAGGCCAAGAAGCAATGTCTTGTGAATTAAAAACCACTGAATTGTATACCTTAAATGTGGACTTTTATAGTATGTAAGTTATTAACTTTAAGAATAATGGCCATACTTAAATCATAGATCTTTAATAAAAATTACTTTGCTAGTTTTGTGAGCAGCGGAGCCCTGAAGTGAAGAGAATGGTCAAAAGGAACAAAGGAGTATGACCTGCAGCTTGGGACACATCTACAGGGTACACACCGACAGAAAACGAGCCACTCACAAAGATGGATTCCCGAGGAGCCCTCTCGCTCCATTTAAGCCTCATCCACGGACAGCTCTGGACTCTCCGCTTAGAGGGAAGGGTGCACTTGCTGTGGACTTGTTGTCCTTGGGCACAGGAAAGTTCAGGAAATTTCAAACCCACAAATGAGTTCTTCAAGGAAAAACTGACAAGTTGCAGCTGTTTTACAACCTATTTCGCATATCCCAGGATTTCTTTAGGTTTAACTTAAAACATATGGGCTGGATCCCATGTGCCGGGGTGTTTCTGTACTCCCAGCGACAATCACGTATCCTACAAGGACAGAAGTGCAGTTGATTTTGGAAAGATAACATCTAGACAAAACATAAGCACATGGACTTTCTCAGATCATAAATTAAGTACATAATGGCCATAAGACATATTACTTCTCTGTGAATGCCAGTAAGCGACTCCTAACTTGGAAAATAATCTGTTCCAACATTTTCCCATACAGACATAAGAATCCTTATATTATGGTCTGTAATAGGATTAATGTCATTGTCATGCATGTATTTCACATGAAATATTCCACTTTTGCACTCTTACTTGTCTTGTCAGAAAGTATACATATCCTTTCTTACTAATTTTAATAAGACTCCAGAAGATTTTTCAATAGCTCTGCTCCAAAGGCTGTGTGTAACTCTTGATTTTTTAGCTGCACCCTACTGACAGTACCCCATGCACAGGTGAGAACCCACCGTCCAATCCCGTGGGCTCACTGTCTGCGACCCTGTCTCCGTGGCAAAGCTTCCTTTGTGTAATCGTACTTTACTGGATTGAAATGACTACACACTTGCTTACGCACTCCACGCATATGTCCCTAGGAGTGCGAGGACAATGACCAGGACTCCCAGACGTGCACGAGATAGGAAAGGCGGCCTTGGACACTCACAGTTGTAGCCGGGTGCGACGCGGTGCTGCGCCTCGAGGCTGGCCAGGGTGATGTGGAAGATGATGTGGAACAGCAGGAAGGAGAGGCTCATGAAGCACAGGGACTTGAGCAGCCGGCCCGTGTGTCCTGGGGATGAGAGCAGAGGCTGTAGGAGACGCGGCAGGCAGGCCCGCCCCCCGCCGCCCCGCGTCCGCCAGGCCCTACCCGCGCTGAGCCCGTCTCCAGCTAGCCGCTCTAGTACTCCCTCAGAGCTTCATGGACTGGCTTGCATTTACCACAGAAGAAGGATACATTCCTATTCATTGTCGAGTACGGCCTAATGGAAACCCGAAAGGCCCTGGCCCAGTTTTGTGAATAAATGCTGCCAACTTTGCAGAACGGAGAAACCCTTCTTATAAAAGGAGTTATAGGAAAAAGAAACAAAATAGCCTATAACATTTTATGAAATTAGAGTGACTTGGATTTCAAAATTAAAGGCACAAAAGATAACTACAGGAGAAGCCAATTTCAGTTAAGAACATAGGCCTCAATCATTCTAAAGCTTGCTATCCAGTTGAGGTAGCACAGTACACCATACTCAGCTAGATTTGCTGCTGAAAAGCAAGTATATTTTTGCATTAACAAATCTAAAAGTGAAATTCATACAGTAGTGGGCTCATATCATGATTTTCTCAGTGGACACAAAGAAAAATTTCATAAAGTTCAACATGTGTGTATAATTTTAGAAAAACAATTAAGATAACTCGAAGCAGAACGGAAACATCCTAGCAGGCTTTACAACACACCTGACACATGCATCCCACTTGGGTTGAAATTCTATAAATAGTTCCACCAGTGTCAGAATCACAGATGTCCAACCTGTCACCGTAAACCAACATATCGAGGGTGCACTAGCCAGTGCCAAGAGATTTTGTAAAGACTCTTAATAACTAGCTTTATTTGCATCTGATATAACAAATGGAATTATTTTCAGATGATATCATTATCAATATAGAATGCCAAACTAAACCGGTAAACTACTACCTACTAGAACAGGTATAAGAATTCTGGGAGTGATTCAGATACAAACTTATGAAAACCAATATACCTTCCCTACTGATGTTCCCCATCAGTAATAATAAAGCAGAAAATAAGGTATAACTTAATTAGCAATCAAAACTGGACTGTCTGGTGCTGCCGTGTGTCACTGTGGCTCGGCTCTAGCATAGCCATCGAATGAGGCGCACATCTAGGTGCTCCCGCAAGGTAAAGGCACCACCGAGGTCCAAATACCAGGCGACCTTTCCAAGGAAACTGTCCTCCATTGCAAGGCAGGCCCAGTTTAATCAGGCAGGAGCCCCCACATCTGGCAGAGGAGACAGAGCTTGAGCACGCTCAGACACTGGCCGAGAAGCTGTCGCCTTCCTGTGCACCTTGGGCTCCTTCCCTCCCCATGCCTGCTCCCTATGGAGCGCAGATTCACTGGTCAGTTTACAAACCAGTTCCTTGAAAACTAAGCCATGTGCCAGAGAAATGTGCAATTCATATAGACATTTTCTATCATACTACTACTTGGTTGCCCTCTGATTTTATTTTAGTTTATTTTTTTATGTATTTAGTACAGGGTCTCACTACACAGCTCAGACTCACAGTGATCCTCCTGTTTTCAGCCTCCCAAGCACTGGGATTACAGGTGTGCGCCACCATGCCCAGTCTCATTGCCCAGCTCAGCACGCCCTGGGGTTGGAGCAGGCACGGCACTCCAGGGACCAAACCCTGGGCCCCTGCATCTGCCTAAGCAGGCACTTTAATTCATGGAGCTATCTGGCTGGCCTGCACTCTGACTTTAAATAAAATATCTAAAAATTTACATAATAGAGTATGTAAGACTTTTATGGTTAAAAGAGAAAAACAAAGAAGATACAAATAAAGGAACAGATGTTACACTTATGAATGAGTTATGATAAAGGGTCAATTTTCCCCAGATTTAATCTACAAATTCAACACAATTTCAAATGAAACATCTGTACTTTCAACAAACACATTTCAAAATACATACAGAAAGGTGTTTTGAGGTTTTCAACTTCTCTTTCAAATATGCTTATGAACAAATCTCTGTGCATTTCTATTTTAATTTAGAAATATTGAGAAATAATGCAAAAAATGAGTGAAGCTGTTATGTCCTAACACATTAAGGCACATTATAATGCTACAAGTTAAAACAAAACAGAACAGAAAGACCAGAACTAAAGACAAAGATGCTTTATATAGAAAAAAAAAAAAAGTGGAATAATACTCTTCAGAAACAAGTGAATTTACCTATATTAAGCTGATAAATGTCAAAGTTGATCCTAAGGCTAAGCACCACAAGGTGGGAATGACGCCCTCCAGAAGGCAGGACAGGGGCCCCAGCACTCACCTCCCCACAAAGCCGGGCTTCGGTGCCACCCCCGGAGGGCAGGGATCCTGTATGAGGCCTGGTGGCTCGGCTATCCTTCTAGAAGTTCCACAAGAAAACACCCAGGTGGGCTGGAGCTAGCTCAGCAGTTCTCAGCACCTGCCTGACCAGTGCAAGGGCTCCTGGGTGGCACATGCCGCGCCAGCTCCGGAAGCCTGGTCATGCTGTGCCAGACCTGCAACGCACCTGGCGGCACACGCCTGTAATCCCAGTGCTGGGGAGGCCGACACAGGAAAAGCACTATGATTCTGAGCTGTGTAGCAAGACCCTGTCTCAAATAAATTTATTCATTAAAAAACCATCCAACTGTGAACAAACTGAGAAGGCAAAAAGCAGTGTCCCTTTACCCAGGTCACGTCCCCAACGTAGCCCAGGAGAGGCCTGGCTGGTGGTGAGCTCCAGTCTTCCCAGCCTGGTAAGGCGCTTCTCAGGAGCCCCACGTGCACCCCACCTGGAACATTGCAGGGATGGGCCCAACTGGGCCAGGTGAGAGCCAGGGGAAGAGACGGGTCACGTCAGCTGGGTGCGGTCCTCTGCAGCCAGCTCTACAGCTGATCCCGGCTCAAGACAGGGGAAGCACAGAGCCCTGCAAGGTGCTTCAGCTGAGGACCCCAGTCCAGGGCGGTGTGCCTGCAGACCCACAACCACCCCGCCTACACGAGCAGCTCTCCGGCAGCTCTGGCAGTGGGCTTCCCTGCACTGAAGAGGGCCAAGGAGCTCAGCCTTGAGCAATGAGAGCCCTGCCTGCCCCAGGAGAAACACACAACGCCATGGGGATGGAGCCTGGAAGTGTGGCTCAGTGAAGGCAGGGGGACTTGAGGTGAGGCAGAATCAGGACAGTGGAGCTGGTGCATCCACAGGGAAGGCCTGGGAGAGCCCACACTCTAGCCAGGCTGGCTGGCAAGGCTATTCACACCCGAAGCCTGTCAGGTGGGACAAGAGGGTACCTGCTTCTTGCACTGTTAAGACAGCAGCGGAAGACTTGAAGGGACCCAGAGGATCGAGGAAACAAGATGTTACTCACTGAGTTGCAAGAAACAGCGACGACCGAAGGAAGGCAGAAAAATAGTACGAGACAGTCAAGAGGGTAAAGAAGGAAAGAGAACTCGAGGGCTGAGGAATGTAGTACTGGAATAATTCAACAGGGCTCCAGTGAAAAGTGAACTCAGGGATGTGTAACTGGAAAACTCAAAGGTGAATCGAAGTTATCCAGGAGAAAACAAAACTAAAGAGTGAAGAAAAGTGGAAGAACCCGAATGGGTCACGAAACAACGAACAGTGAACCTTGTTAGGGTGACCAGGAGGGAACAAGGAGGAAGAAGAGCTTGTTTAAGAAATAGTGGCAGGAAACTCACCAAGTCTGGAGAGCTAAAGGAACATACAGGGCACAGAAGACAAAAGATCTCCAATTGGTCAAGCCTAAAGATGTCTAGAAGAGAAGATTAGCAGACTGTCCAAGACAGAATTTTGAAAAAAGCAAAAGAAAACCGACTTGCCATATACACGGGCACTTTCGGAAGACTGAACGTATTTCTCAGCAGGACAGGAGAGGGATGACACACCCGAAGTGCTGAAAGAAAAGCCTGCCAACCAGGAGTGCAGCCAGCAACACTGTCCCTCCTGACACAAAGGGGAGAGCAGGCTTTGCCAGGCGGCAAGAGCTGAGGGAGCTTGTCCCCACAGGACCAGCCTCCCCAGAAAGCCTAAAGGGAGCGCTTCTAGAGCAAAGCAAGATCTGATCTGTAGCGTGATCAAACATAGGACAGCGCATAAGCCAGGGAGGCTAAGTACGGAGTCAAGTCACAATACTCGGATGCTACAAGGGAGGCATGTAAGTCACATCGAAATCTAATACAAATATGACAGTCCAAAAGTACTGAAAGTAACTGCCAGTACAATACCTGTTCACGGTTGAGAAAAGACTCACGGCGTCGGCCACAAACAAAGACACACAGACACTCAATGCAAGCAAAGCGAGCGCTTAAGCCAAAAGGCTGCTGCCCCGCCTTTGGTCTTCAGTTTCTAGATCTTGAGTCTCAGCCTTCGGGTTACTTTAGGTGAACATAGCAAGATCCCATCGTATGTGTCCAAGACTAATGTTTAGGCTATCCGTGAGAACCTGCTAGGCATCTGGGAGCAAGTACACAAGAACAAGGTGTTCTTGGTTACTTCCACAGCTGTTGCTGCCCTATTTTCTTTTCTTTTTTCTTATGGGTTCTTTTTTTTTTTTTTAATTTTACTGAGAAACAAATAGTAATGAAATAGTTTCAAAACAGGTTAGTAGGACAGTTACAATTAATACATTGCATATTGTGGTCTTCATAGTAGCTATTCATAGCACAAGATGCAGACATGATATCCTGTCCAAACACTGTTAGTACAAATCTTTCTTCTCATTGAACTAAGAGAAAGTAGCTGTATAGCTATCCTAACTATTTTGTATATACAGATACAAAATGGTCCTTCATTTGTATCCCCTTTTTTTGTTTAGTTTTGTCAGAGATGGGTATTCTATTGCCTTTTAAATATTGCAGATGCGTGAATTCAGCAAAACTCAGTGGAATAAGAGCTAGCTTGTTTTCTTTTTCCTCGTCCCACATGCCCTGCAGATTACTTAGCACGTCTCTATGTCAATCCTTCGTATCCAACAGTTCACGGGTACTGATTTATAGTGATGCCAACTGTGGTG